AACGCTGGCTGGGAGCGCATAGGGGATAAATCTACAGGCAAAGTCACTCGCACTACGAATCAGCAGAGGATTTCTTCTTCAAAACAGTTAGATAGGCAGGGCACGAAATGTCACGTGAATTATGAGCCGCAACTCGCGGGAGAGCCACAAGAAAAGTATTTACGACAGCGCACATGAGAAGCGACACCCGCCGACTAATGCTAACCTAACGACGTTCGGGGCCAATTAGCGACTGACGCTCACATCAAAGTATTATTCTTAGGAAAATTCATCGTTACTTTTGGTCCCTGTCGATCAAATATTACGTTATTAGGAACGTATATGTTTGTCAGTAAAGAATATTTGGCTGCAGCCAGGTCATCCATTGCATATAATTGAGCAACACTATAATTTTAAACAGTGAATTTTCACTTGAATGAACGAACAGTCAGTTGAAGTTCATTATAGCAATTCGTTCATTTACACTGTAAATAGTTGATAACACAAAATTCACTTGCAGGAAAAAATACATTTGACGAGAAAATGTACCTGCATGAAAGTAACAACATAATAGGATAAGAACGCGGGCAAATTTACTGATTCGCATGGGCATTTATTTACCAATATTGTTAAATTTTGTACTGCATATTAAATACATCGATCTGAACACTTGTATACTAATTAGTGTAAAGTTTGCCACATTATGCTTGGCAGAAGCAATAAACTGTGGTAGCACATCAGCCAATGAATGTGAATTAGCATCTATATAACTGAGGTATGGACCTTGAAATTGTTGGTTGGAATTATTTTCGACAAATTGAAATGTAGCAACAATTACGTTAGTGCACACATACAGCAAATGCACGCGTACACACATGTACACTATTTAATCGCAAGGCATTACAAATTCGATCTCTTAATAACTTATAAAAACTTGCAATCAATAGCAGGCGGAAAATAGTTCCAGAAGCTATTCATTGTGATAGGAACACATCATTGTTCGGTAAATTGGCAGAAAAGGTAAATACGAAAACGCGCAAACGTTCAGAAATGGTATCCAAGTGAAAGTCCAGAACTATTTCTATTTTCTGTACATAGCATGCATGAATAGTTCAGTACTATAGAATGAGTAAAAAAATTGGCGCGTACATGTATGAATACGGCTAGTGCATTAATTGAAACAGGGTGCATGAGTAAATTAGTTACGCATGCGGAAATAGAGATGTCAACATCCACACATACGGTATGCATATAAGTGGCTCGCGTGACACTGGACTAGCGTGTGGCCCGGCCATATCAGACGTATAATTGATTGTCTCCAGGATATGACGAGCAACTCCCAAACAATTAACACAAACTCCAGCACGCTAATGGCCTCACGACAGACTCGTTATTATAAAGGCTTCAAGTCACCATTATAACTCACCAAATGTTCAGCCATATATTGAATAATAACATGGGGCAGGAGTGCAGGCTTAATATAGATATCCTAACATTTCAAATATTGCCAAAATAAGCTTGAAGTGAAACGCGAGTGGCAATTGAAACGTACACGAATGATTTGCGAGTTACGTATATAAATCCGCATACAACAATTATTGAAGGTATCACATCTACGTGAAGGATTATAAGATTCTAACGTAGTTAAAATGATGCATGCGTCATGCAAGGATTCAATGCAAAAGTCGTGAAATAAACGAAAAATCGACTCGCTTTACAGCCGAAAAACCGAAATTTCTAAGCACGGAGAGAGCATTCCGTAGATCAGACGAGTCCTCGAGCTGCAGTACGACGTATACGTGTATTTAAACACATGCACATCCTCAACAGAATATATGCACTAAATGACAGTGGCATTGGAATAAGTTTGTTCATATTTTTTTAGTATAGGTTGGTAAAATTTGTTTCTTTAAGCAGGTTCCATTGAAGACCGGAGAATCGTTTCATTGACAATTTTCTTAGTAGTTTTTTCAATCGATCGAACAATATTTTTCGTTTGCACTGGTAAATCGAAAATTATATTTTTTTTTACAACATGTTGGTTTTAACATTATCAGGAATGTCTGGTGACTTGATAGTTAACAAAATATGTAAGCGTTTAGATGTGAAATTTTATAATTTTAGACTAAAATCAAATCTAGATTAGAATCAGCGTACAAGAGTATATAGATCACAGTTTACCTGGAAATGAAAAAATTGAAACTTTACTTAAACTTAGAAAAATTCACTTAAACAAGACAAATTTCCCATATTAAAATAAGGACTTTCGTTTTTATACAAAGATTTTAATTCTCGATTTCAAGAAGTTTCGTTGCTATGATCAATGATTTATAAAAGCAGATTAGTTAACTTATTAATGATATTAAAGCATTAGAAATAGAACGAAATCCATAAATAGGTAAGGCCTTTCATCATCAAACTGACATTCAAATCTTCCGCCGAAAGCATCAACAGGAAAATGAATAAATAGACTATAATTTTGTATTATATGTTAAAATATTGCCAATTTCACTGCTTTACAAATTTCATACTGCAGCGAGTCTGGGTCATGCATGTATAGATTGTTATCGATATTTGCATCCAAAGTGTAAAAAATTAAATAACGCAATATTAAGCGATGATATAATATTACACCAAATAATTTAATCCCAAGTATTATAGTTGCTCCATTATTTGCATTAATTTGTGAACACAATTCTAATTATAACACATGTTAGCATTATTTAAGTACCCATAAACATCATGCACGTATTAGATAGGCACTTATTTGGCAGCATTTCATTGAGATATTTAATAACTAATCAAGATAAACACCAAGAAAACAACAAAATCATTCGAGATGCATAATTCAAGAACAAATTGAAATCTGTGCGTAATTGTTTGTATCAAAGAAAAAAGCAACGAAATTTTTGAGGTGAGATCGCATATGGTGGTCATTCAATCAGAATTGTATGTATCAAAGAACATGTATATAGCGCCGGAATTCTAGAGATAGCATGGCGGTAATTCACTCGCGGTTATATGGCATATAGTATATATGGTATAGTATAGTATCTTCGGCATTGAAGAATAGGCCTGCATGGATATGCCTGTCGCCGATTCTTGTACTTTTCTTTACTAGACTGGCCTTTTGATCAAATCTTTTCAAAGGACGGTAGCTTTAAAATCGCTTCTAAGATATCAGTTGTTCCATTATAGGATACGAGGCATTTCATGACTAAACATATGCTCCCGTATGGCCTTGTCTATAGTCTGTTCTTGAACGCGATATACAATATCAACAATATATTCAGGGAGGCTGTTCCACATGTCGGTGACTCGAAGCGAGATATATCAATCAATGGTATATATCAATTTAAGTACATAACAACGAAATTAAACAGATCACATGGTGGAAATTTAATCGTTAGTTGTACGTATCAAAGTACAGATTATAATAACGAAATTTAAGGTACCATATGGTGTATAATTAAACCATTAATTGCTTATAAAAGTGTGTAACGAAATCCAAGAGATCGCATGACAGTAATTCATTCGTTAATTGTACGTATCTAAGTACGCAACAGCGAAATTCTATAGATCGCATGGTGGTAATTCAATCGTTACTTATATGCATCAAAGCTAGTATAATGTAAGAACGAAATTCAAGAGATCGAGTGGTGATAATTCAATCGTTAATTGTACGTATCAAAGTACACGTAATTACGAAATTTAAGCTATCATATGGTGAATATTAAATCATTAATTGTGTCTATAAACGTGTGTTACGAAATTCACGAGATTGCATGACAGTAACTCATTCGTTGATTGTACGTATCTAAGTACGCAACAGCGAAATTCTATAGATCGCATGGTGGTAATTCAATCTTTACTTACAGTGGGGGGAAATAAATATTCGTACACTTGAAAAATCGTATTTTAATGTATGTAGGTACACATCAATGGTATATATCAATTTAAGTACATAACAACGAAATTTAACAGATCGCATGGTGGAAATTTAATCGTTAGTTGTACGTATCAAAGTACAGATAATTACAAAATTTAAGCTATCATATGGTGAATATTAAATCATTAATTGTGTCTATAAAAGTGTGTTACGTAATTCACGAGATCGCATGACAGTAACTCATTCTTTAATTGTACGTATCTACGTACGCAACAGCGAAATTCTATAGATCGCATGGTGGTAATTCAATCGTCACTTATATGCATCAAATTATAATGTAACAACGAAATTCAAGAGATCGAGTTGTGGTAATTCAATCGTTAATTGTATGTATCATTTACATAGTAACGGAACTTTAGGATCACAAGCATTAGACAAGAAAACCCAAGCAGATCTTGCACGTGGATTGCATGCAGGTGGACCCCAACCATCAGATATTAAAGAGTAAATTGGGAAGGTCCGATATGCGGAGGAGCGACGAGTGCAGCTAAATCAGATCTTATGAGGCGATACGTCAAGCGCAGTCCAGCCGCTCATTTATTCATCAGGACTGAGGCTGCTTATGTGACACACAAACATCCTCGACTCGCCTGCAATTGATAGCGTCGCCACGAGAATGTGACTCGAAGCGGGGCATGACTAGCAGAGACAATCGCATCTGGCTCCAGCTATCAAGCCGCATACGGGCCGTTACCCGCGATGAGGAGATAATTTACGAAACCAAGGCCTTGTAAACCACATAAAAATCACGGTACTTTTGATAACTAAGCGATTACAGATCGCGATCGGGAATAAGCTTTCAAGTTGGTGCCATGTCCGAAGGCGTGCCTTGAGAAACATCATGTTCAAGGGGAGCAAATAATCGGTCGCAGCTGCGCAGCATTCGCGAAGCGGGAGCGCCGCGCTTCCAATGGACGAGAGAACAAGGCGGAGCAGCTCGAGAGCAGATTGTTGAAGTGAGCAGAGCTCCAATGGGGGCTGGTAGAAGTAAGTGAATGAGGAGCCCCTCCCCGGTCTAGGCGGCCAATAACGCTGAGTTCTCGCCAGCAGGCGCAGCGGCTCGAGTCTTGTGTCAGACAGAGCCGTAGCTCAGGCCAGCTAACATATCAGCAGGCTAAATGGATATTACAAAGTAATTACTCACCAAGATTTAAGCTCTAAATCGAATTTCAAATCCCTAAGTGTGTACGGGAGAGCCGTAAAAAGCTGCTAAGGGGAGCACAGTAGTAAGACTTGCGCGCGTGTTCTGTTTTCTTGAACTTAATATGAAAATTTCACGGTTCTTTTTCAAGTGCAGTGACACAAACCGAGCGTGAGAGTCTACAGTGCAGAACCAATAGTGGTGAAGTTCGTAAAGACAGAACAGTGGTGAGAAAATTATTCGAAATGCTCGTTCCGGCTGATGCATCGGTCAGTGGAAGCACTAAGCTGGTTGCTGCCTTAGAACAATTCTACGGTGAGCAAGTAGCTAAAAGGAGAGTTGTGGTAGGCAAGCGAGTTGAAGAAGTGGTTCAGGTTGCACACGATCTCATGAAACACGTCGAGGCTCAAGAGCCCCGATGTCTATCCACCCTGACACAGGCAGGCGGGCGATGGGAAGGTCTGAAAATTCACAGTCCAGGAGAATATCAAGTTACCATATACCTCAATCAAATGGGCGAATTTAATCTGGTCGACGATGGTTCAGTTCCAGGGAGCGCGGTGCTCAAGCTCAGCGATGGCAGGAAACGATCAATGTCATTGTGGGTGGAATTTATTACCGCCTCAGGCTACCTATCGTCGCGTAAAATGCGTGCAAGATTCCAGACTCTGGTTGCTCAAGCCGTAGAAAAATCACAATATCGCGACCAGCTTCGTATGGTGGGAGGAACGTCTGAAGTCAGAGTTCGAATACGAGATACATACACCCTTGATATGGTGCTAGCATTCAAATGTTACGGAATATGGCCTCGCAGTGCGGCTCATTGGCCTGAACCAACACTGCCGTGGCCGGGAGTAGAACAAGCAACCGAAGTCAAAATGTCTGGCTTCACGCTTGTGTCCAGAGATTGCTCACACCTAGCCAGAGACAAGGAGAAGGACAAACAAGAAGCTGCGATCACAGCAGAAGGAGACACTTGGGTGATGGTTTTTGCGGAGGCTGAAGACCGCCTGCTTACCCAAGGATGTCGTAAAAAATGTTTAGGAATTTTGAAAACGCTTCGTGATCGTCATTTGGAATTGCCAGGCAACCCAGTGAGCGCCTTTGTATTGAAGACACTCGTGCTGTACGAGTGCGAGAAGCATCCTCATGAGTGGGAATGGGACACCTTAAGCTTAGGTGATAGAATCAACGGAATTCTCTTACAATTGATCTCATGTTTATTATGCCGTCGTTGCCCGCATTATTTTCTTCCGCAAGTCGACCTATTCAGAGGAATACCTCGGCAGAGTTTAATGCAAGCTGCTTCGCAATGCTGGCGACTAACAAGGGATCTGCTCACAAGAACGGAATACCTGCAGCAATGTTAAAGCCATGAAATAAACCAGAGGGAAAGACAGCTTTAAAAGGTCCCCGAGATGGAGTGCAATGCGATAGCGAAAGGCGGGTCTGCGCGCCCTCTGGCCCCGCCTGGCATTATCTTCCTGCAGGCGTTCGATAATTAGAGCATCAGGCTGCAGGAGCGCCACTTGCAAAAGCTTTTAACGATGTTGGTGCCCACCGAAGGAGCTCGCCTTGTTCCCCAACTGGGCAGGTACTGCGGAGAGCGAGTAGCTGCCCGCAGGGCGGCTGTTATGAGGGGACTTCGGGAGGTGGCGACAGCCTTGCAAGAAATCCTTCGGGAGGTTGAATTGCAAGAGCCGCGCGTCATTTCATCATTGGCTGAAGTCAACGGACGTTACGAAGGATTGCATGTTTTATCGCCTACCGAGTTCGAGGCAATTCTTTACCTCAATCAAATGGGAGAGTTCAATTTCGTCGATGACGGAAGTTTTCCCGGAAGTGCAGTTTTAAAACTCAGTGATGGACGAAAGCGTTCCATGTCGTTGTGGGTAGAATTTATAACCGCATCAGGTTATTTATCTGCGAGAAAGATGCGAGCGCGTTTACAGACATTAGTGACTGCAGCAGTTGAAAAAGCTGGTAATGGCGTGAAAGTTGTTTCCGATAATAGTGAAGTGAAATTGCGTATAAGGGACAAGTTTACAGTGCAATTAATACCGGCATTCAAGTGTTCCGGCGTCTGGCCTCGGTCTGCCGCCCACTGGCCAACACCTCATATCCCATGGCCAAACCCTCAGCACGTAGTTGAGGTAAAGGCCGAGGGTTTCGACTTGGTAAGCCGCGAGGGGCACCGTGGCAGCGGAGGGCTCGAGGCGGACGCCTGGGTGATGGCCTTCACGGACGCTGAGCAGAGACTTCTGCAAGGGGGCAGCAGACGCAAGTGCTTGTCTTTTCTGAAGGCGCTCAGAGACAGGCATTTGGCATTGGTGGGGGACCCAGTTCCTGCTCGAGTCCTGACGGCCCTTATCTTACATGAGTGTGAGAAGCACCCCAGTGAGAGCGAATGGGTTGAAGCCGCTTTAGGAGAGCGACTTTTGGGCGTGATGCTGCAACTGATCACGTGTCTACAGTGTCGGAGGTGTCCTCATTATTTCCTACCTGGAATAAACCTAATAAAGGCGCCACCAGCGGCTTTAGAAGCTGCAGCTCGACAGGCTTGGAAGCTTGCACGGGATCTACTCACGAATCCCAAAGGAATTGAAAAACTCTAATTTTAAAAGAACGTGTGATTCGTGAAGAGCCACATAGATGTGAGTGAACGTGTACTAATACCAAAATTATAATCAAATTCAATGCATGATTAAAATTGTCAATTCGGATGTAGAGACTGCAAAAATTCGTTTCATGAAATACTATCCCTATACACATAAGAGTCATAACGCAGTGAAATAGCAATCTTAGAATTTAAAAACTAATGTTAGATAGTGTTTTTTAACTGCAAAATTGACGCACGGTCGCTAAGTTCATTTGAATTTTTCATGCTCATCAATGAAGCCATGTATAGATTGAAATATGTTGATAATTTGTTATATTTTGTTCATGCAATGCTAGCAGTGCATTTTCATTGGAAAGCTGACAAGGCGCTCTAACGTTGTGAAGTTGTTATGTTTCTATTATAGAGCTGTGATATACTTAGTTCCAAGTATCTGTGTACATAAGTTTTGCAAATATTCGACTGTGTAGAGTAGTGTGCAGAAATATTACGTACCTATAGCACCTTAATAATATTTGAATCGACGATTAATTCACTCTTAAAATGATTAGGCGGTGCAACTCAAATTTTACGTATTTACCCCTGAATTTATTTTTAAAATGTAAGTCTACGTACTGCGATGACCTTTGCTATGATGCATTCTACATTGATTTATTTTAAAGATGTTCATTATAGAGAAATTCCATTTTCAAATGATTCTGATCGAACTCGGAGTATACGCATTCAACCTTGAATTTAATTCGAAATTTTAAGGATACGTACTGCGATGCCAAAACCGTAAACGTTGAGAAATTAAAATTTGATTTATTTCATGAATGTTCATTTTAGATTAATTCGCTCTTCCAATGATTATGATGGAACTTGAAGTATACGTGTTTTCCCCTGAATTTAATTTGAAAATCTAAGGCTATATATCTGCGATGCCAAACCTTTAGCTTTGACGAATTTTACCTTGATTTATTTTAGAAGTTTTTGTATTAGATAGCGAAGCATATAGTATTTCAAGTTGCTTCATTGTATAGTTGAGAATAACTATCCATCACTGAATAGTCATGACGATTAACTTATTATATATAACATAATTGTTTTGTAGGCGTGTAAAGTACAGACTTTAGCGCATTAACAATTATTTCATTATCCTAAATTATGTAGCGAAGCATGAACTATATAATAATTAACGGGAAAATTGTTACTCACTATTCAGAAAGCTAAACAGGAAATAATTGCGTGTGACTAATTTAACAAACACTTCCATATATAATGAGAAAATTGAATTTCAATTATGAAAGATTTTCGCGATTTTATATGAGTCTATTTAATCTACTAAATTCAGAAGGAAGTGCCCTTTAAAAATTATGATATATATAATCAACAACGGTTATATTCAACTCAATTTTTCAATGGAATTCAAACGCATTTATTATCAATAAATTTAAAGAAATTTCAAAACGCCTATATCTTTGACGTCAATTATCTTTCACGTTGAATCCAATTAATTTTCGTAACTTAAATGTCCAAGCGCTTCGAAATTACCAAATTATAGATACCGTTGGCAATGGCTATTTAGATATATTTTGTGAGCATTTTATTCAATTTCAACGGAATCGTTCGACTTATTCATTTACAAGCAGGCCTAAAATGAAGTACTGTTTCATTGGGACAGATTTGAAATTAACTTTTGCTATTAGCGAAATGTAGAATTTACGCTGTTGATTGTTGTCAACATTCGTGATATCAACTAAGATAATTTGTACCAACACTTGATCAATAATAGAATTCAAACATGTCTTATATAGTCTATCATTAGAGGTAACTGAGTAAGCAAAGAAATTCTCGAGAATTTGAGCCGGCGATAGATAGCCACGAACTCGCTGCATATTAATATTTTTATTATGGGGACATTTCAATAAAGACGTAAAGTTTGTGTCGATGTCAAAATACAAATAGTCCTAGCTTGTAGGTTCTTCAGTGTCGCAGAGATATAGATACTAGAAAAATGGTTTGGTCACCACTGAAAAAAAAATAATTCTCGGATATAGTTTGCCTTGATTGCCAAAAAAATTAACGGAAATCAAGTCGTTAATTGGAATTTTTTGGCGTAAATCAAAATTTAAAAAAACAAAACAATATGTTTAAATGCAAAAGAAAATTGTCGAATAATTACACAATGCGCTTGAAATTGAGCTAATGTGAATGGAGTGTCACGACAAAAACGGCTGCTGAGAAAAACGAGCAGAGCTGCAAGTGTGCAACAAGATAAGCAGGAGAGAACACGCAGGAATGTGTCGCTCGTCCCATGTAACAGCGACAGCAGCAAATCAGCCAACCCGGTGCTAATCAGACGGACATTCAGGCAGCGAACATGCACGCTTAGGGCTCCTCTGTTGAACTATTAACAGCCTTCCGCGTTTTTCCTCACTATCAACAATGACCGCGTGCTTTGATTTATGTAAATTAATAATTGTTAAGCATACACGAAACGTTCCTCAGCATACTCACACATGAGGTTTCGATATTATTTAAATTGATTATGAAGTCAGACGATGGTCCTGAGATGTTTAGGGTTGATAGCAGCCGAATGGCAGAACAGATACTTACAGATGTTGTTGAAATCAGTAGAAAGTTTAACTTAGTATAACTCACCAACAATATTCACGGCAAAGCTTTGAATTATTTCGATGAAGTATACAAATGTTCAACAGGCTGAATTCAGAAATTTTTTATCAAATTAAATCATAAGCGCTGAAGTCCTGTTTCTTGTTTCTTATGAATCGTAAATGGGAAAAAGAATTTAAAAGTGATTGAATAGGTCAGTTAAACTAGGAAAACGATAAATTGAAAAGAATAATGAATTCACGTTACCGCTCACATATTTGTGGGCCATCAAAGAAAAAATTCAGTACATTTTATGCTTGAAGGAATGGCAGTTTGTAATGGCCAGTATTGTAAACTCCGGGACCAACAGAGACAAGGAATTTCTGGACAAGAAAGCTGCAGGCGTACGACCGTTTGTAGCTAAAGAATAATAATAATCAACACAGAAAGCTGCGGTTTTGATGAGTTTATAATATTGAACAAGAAAGTTTTCTTGTTATGAAGTTAAAAAGTCTTCTTGAAGCCGGACTTCAACGAAATTATCATAACGCGAGGCAAATATTGTAGAAATTTTCCTCAATTAAATTGGGCAGCGCAAAAAGTTGTTATATTGTATAACTGAATGAGAAAATTAATTATCACAGCGTCTTAAATTCGACGAAATATTCAACGAGATACTTAATTGAGTCTCCACGTCCCAGGAAAACAATGTCAGAAAATGAACGTTGATTTATGTATGTACCGTTGAAGATAAAAAAGGTGAGTAAAATAATTAAGTAACCGTTCATCGGAGCGGTTGATCAAAAAATCGAGTGCGTTCAAATGCCACTTTCCTCGATGAATTAATTAGCGAAGGATGGAAAAGTTTGTAATTGACCAACATTGATATATCAATGCCAAGGACTCGTAATTCACTTGCAATACGAAATTAACCATGTAATTGGTATTAAGAGTCGTGCAATTAAATAAATTTATAATGGATACTATAAGGGCAACGTGACTTTGAACACAAGATCGAACGATCGATGCTGAATAATTCAAAGTCTTCCCAGCACGACGCAGCATTACTGGTCCGATCTGAACCCTACACAAACAACGATTTTTTACTAGAAGCGACAAGCACAAAGGTTACAACAGACAGAGGCAGTAACGGATGGGGTCATAAAATGGCGGACAGACGATATAACACACAAAAGATGGATTTCTGCATCACCGCAGATGTATATTGATTATTCTACCTAGAAGTGTACATGTCTATTTTCCATGAATTAGAGACGAGGTGAGCGCACGAATATAGAAGAAACGCGACATTAAAGAAAATGCAATGCGACAAGCGTACCATGCATGGAGTGTCTAATATTCAGTTGCGAAATGGAAGTCAATAAAAGCATATATCTTATTAGGGTAACCGACAGCAAATTTTGATACTAACAGTAAAAATAGCGGACAAAAAGATTCCCCAGTCTAAGAAATTTGAAATAACCGGAATTATAATTTGGTTTAGTGTTGTCCCACGCATGCATGCAGGGCCTTAAATACAGCGAATCATCGAAATTATAAAATGATCACAGTAAACAAGACCCCGAGCATAAATATAATAATTTTCATACGGTTATATCATCGCAGTTAATAACAAATTTGTAATGCCGGTAATGCGGATACTAATTTGAGGAATAAATTTTAATAATAATAAAAAATTATTAAAACACATTCCAAATCAACTTCTGAACAATTATATATCTAACTTCTTCATTATTTCAACTGTACTTGTAGCACTACGTGGAAATTATCAGCTCATAGAAGGATTCAATTAAAAAATAAATTTATGAAAATCAGAATCAAAATTCATCGGAAGAAGGAAACATCATGAAAATCTTGCAGTAGAGGTATAGGCGCAGTAGCAGGGCAGGCAGTTTGGTAAAGGACGGCTGGTCTAGGAGGCAGCGCTGTGATCTATAGGGTTTGATAAGACGCTGACATCTCCATCTGACTCACAAGTCTTCGCTGACATCTCCCTAGAATAAGCGCTGCACTCCAGCCTATTAACACCCGGCAAGCAGGTGTAACATCGTGGAAAATTCACCAAGCAGAGTGGGTGATTTTAATTTAAAATGATAGTAAATCGCTTTATTGTCGAGTTTCTCCCCAAAGTTGTATAATACCTTACGGTCAAGTAATGCAATTACTGACAATATTATCTTTATAATGTATGTTCAACGACTTGATAATTGTTGACAGAACATGTGGAACTAAAAACACTAAATAAAAGAAAAAATTCAATGCTAAATTACTTAAATCAATAGAATGAATAAATACATTCAAGTTAATTTTTGCCTCTCGCATTCTGAAAATTAAACGATATACTAGAGGCCATACTACACATAACTTGCAGCAGCATATAAATGTTCGCAGCAGATTCACAGGATGGCTAGAATTAGCTAGCATTTTTAGAGCATTAGGCTAAATTTTTGTATATTTCACCGCCTCATCCTGTGTTTAGCAGCAGAATCTTGAAGAACATGAATAATGCAAGCGGTCTCGATGCCTTCAGAACCACAATTATACTGGATACAATGACTAGCTGCAGAGGCCTCAACATTTCAAAAAATACATTTCCATAATAATTTGACGCGCACTCAACTATCATTTCCATAACTTAACATATGCCTGCGTAAGCATCATTGCAGGCGCACACAATGAGACCATTAATTTTGCAAGGAAATGCAAGTAGTGGTAGTTTAAATGTATACTTTTAAATGAACAAAAGATGAATCCTAACTTTCAATCTCTTACAAAAATATCATTACGTCTAAATCCTGTCGGCATGCACGCATTAATTACGGTCTTGCCGTATACACGAAGCTAAGTTTTAAATTAAATAGAAGCAAAACTATCATTCATAAAAAAATAATAAGGTCCAAACTTTCCGTCGTTCCAAGGTTCCTAGAAAACAAGGTGGTTATAGAAAAGTGCTCAAAAATTTTCCCCACGGACTGGCAGCGAGAAACTGAAAAGACGATCACAGACTCCAGCCTGGCGAGCATATATATAGAGCCCGGAAAGTGTATACGCACCACTAAGCGCGCAAGTTTTATGGGTTTCACGTCCACTTTGGCGACCGCAAATCGCTCCTTAACCCGACAATTAGCAATAACCTCTAGAGCCCTCAACAGTCATAAAATTCTACCATGAAACTCAAGTACAGACATCAACAATGTTGAAGCCAAGAGCAGGAATTTGCATCAGGTTAAACATAAACTTCCAAGGCCTCCAACTATACATAAGCAATGCACACGAGAGCATCAATCACCGAAACAACAAAAGCATTAACCACAACTTCACTTGTAACATATTCATAAATATACATTTATGCACGATGTTGACACAGTCAAGGTTTCGGGTGCAAGAAAATCATGTCTGAAGAAAATATGTGAATGAGTTATTTTAGTGCACATTGCGAGAAGAAAAACTAGTTAAATTTCGGCGTAAATGTTAGCTAAATGTGTCAATATTAAAACAAAAAAGTGA